TGGTAGCACTCCGAATCAGTATTTCGCAAATTAAATGTTTCTATTTTGAAAACGTTGCGAAAAACGCACTCTGATTTCCATGAAATAGCGGGGTGTTACACAAGGAGTTCTTGATTTGATTTTTAGATAGGTCATACTCATATCAAAGAGTTCTTCAATTGACTTTATTAATAGACAGTTTATACTTGTATAAAGGAGTTCTTCACTTGACTTGATTTGTTGATAAGAGTTCTTGATTTCATTTGATTTGTAGATAGTTTATACACGTATCAAGAAGTTCTTCATTTGATTTGACACATATTTTATACTCATTCAAGGAATTCTTGATTCGATTTCATTTGTATATAGTTTATACTCATATAAAGGAGTTTTTTATTTGATTTGTAGATAGTTTATACTCGTATCAAAAAGTTTTGATTTGGTTTGATAGATAGTTTATACTTGTATCAAGGAGTTCTTGACTCAATTTGATTTGTAGATAGTTTATACTCATATCAAGGAGTTCTTGACTTGATTTGGTTTGTAGATAGTTTATACTCGTATCAAGGAGTTATTGATTTGTAGACATTTTATTCTCGTGTCAAGGAAATCTTAATTTTTGTAGACATTTTATGCTCGTGTCAAGGAGCCTTCATCTGTAGACATTTTATGCTCGTGTCAATGAGCCCTATGATTTGTAGAAATTTTATGCTCGTGTCAATGAGCCTTGTAGATAATTTAAGCTCATATCAGGGAGCATTTGAATTTGAGTATTTGGATTGTTTTACTCATATTAGGGAGCTTCATAAATAGTTTTGTTGTTAAACGTGAATTAACAACGACAATTATATTGTAATATAGCGATAATATGAGCAAGCTTTGTATTTATTGAATGTTAAAGACGTCGGTTTACTGTGCATATGACGTCAGATTTTATTAGATATTTTAATGCGTGTAGTACAAGAATTGTGGGAATCAAGAAGGTCCTTTTCTTAATGACTATATCCGCTATTTATAGAGCGGTTGTCCCACCGTACGAGGTAGGTGTGATCGCATTTAATGTAAAGTAGCTTTTCAGAGGCGGTTGTCCGCTAGGTGGACGACAGTCATGATGATTAGGTGAGTCATTGCCGCCTTAGCCTTGAAAGTCAACTTCTTCATAACTCGGTTAGTAAGGTTCTGTTTATTGGAAGACCTCGGTTGGTATGGAGAGATGATCGTGTCACGGTTTAATTGCCGAGGAATGACGTCGGTTCTTACTCTTATCGTATCCGAGGTATTCATACTTTCTCGCATCAGATCGCCATTAGGGCTGGGTTAATAATTAATCGTATTATCTTCGGGATTACTGAAAAAGATGTCAACAAGGTGGCCCCGCCATTAATAAACATTTGAGTAGAACTGGTGTTGATGCCGTAAAACATTAACTATGTCTCGCTGCTCTCAGTCCAAATACGTCGGTATTTTTCTTCACGACCCGGCGTCTTAACACTTGGGTGAAAAAATGCATAAATGGACTTGAAGTTGAAAGGGCACAATGTTCTTTATTTTAATGTAACGGTTACTGATAAGGCAACGGATAAAAATTGTAGCCCACATAGCCATTAACTATAGGCACACATTCTAAAGGGTGCGATGACTCGCGAAACGGGCGAGTAACTGCCACGCGCCCCTAATTTTAGATCTTCAACGGTCACATTAGGGCTTCATATAAATAGCATATTTCCGCCCAAAATTGAATTTCACTCTCAATTTCTTCGCACTTCGCCTTCTATCTTCTTCTGCTGTTGATTCATTTGTTTGATTGCTGCTTTTTCTTGCGCATATGTTCACCAAATTCGCAGGCAATCATCTTGTGTGGTAAGCCTTTATATCCCTCGATTTTGGTACTTTATTATTTGATTTTTCCCGATTTGTTCAAATTCCCTTGAGCAATGAGTCAAACGACGAGATCATCGAGTAGTAGCGATTTAGATTTGACCATAATGAATTAGATACGTTTCAGAGAGATAGAGTTGCTTTAAGAATATTGTCGTTGGGACCCGTTGTATGTAGAGTATTTAGAGATTGGTTTGAATAGCGTAGAGGGAGAAAAAAGGGTGGAACAAAATGCGGTAGGAGTGGTCAAAATTCTGGAGACGGCCTATCTGTGCATGGCTGGATCTCGAGGTAGATTTACATGGAGAACCAAGCATCTTAACCGACACAGACGTCGTGTTGCTCCGAAAGGAAGTTAGGGTTCCTTCATCGGTGAACTTGTTTGCTCCGTACCCGGGGGAGAGGATAACTTGTCCTCCTTCGGGGTGCATTGGTGTGTTCTCAGAGAGCCTGAGGTCGAGCTTGAGGTTCCCCCTTCCTCGTACTATTACCGAGTACTTGCATGACTGGGGGTTGAGTTTATGCCAAATTGCTCCAAATAATTGGAAGCGAGTCATAGGTCTGCTAGTCCTCTTGGCCAAGAAGGGATAAGACTTGCCCTCAACAAATGACATGAGGAGCATGTTTACTTTTAGAAAGAGTCCGGATAGGCAGGTGTCAGATCCGCTTTAGTGTTTTTTCGTCTCGGGTAAACCACAACCGAGAGTTAAAGTTGGCAAGTTGATAGCCGAGGTTCCTGATACTCTTCATGGATTTCAAGAGGAGTGGTTGTGGGTAGGTGGGGATTGGCAATGGCCCGATTTTCTTTCTGAACCCCTGATTAATGGGATGACCATCTTAATGTCTGTTAAATCTGCTTATTGTAAGTCGTCTTTGTCCTTGAATATATCTGACGTCATTAATTCTATTTCTTTTTGCTTGTACTAACAGGTGGACATTCTTTTACATTTGTAGCCAAACAGAAGTAAAGGAAAGAGCCGCGGTTTGAAGGTGAATTGTACAATCGCGTGGATAAGTTGTTTGAGCTCTCGAAGCAAAAGCGAAGGTATCAACGGCTGGTGAAGGATTCTCGGTTAGAGCTAGCAGGCTTATGTCCCAGTGTTTTTGATTCCTCATTCTTGTCGGGTAAAACATTTCTTCATAAGCACTGTGGATCTCAAGTTATGTGACATCGTACTAATTATGAATTTCTTTTTCACAGTTTACTATCCTTTGCTCGAATACTTTTTTTTTCAGAATGTTGAAGACGCCGAGGAGTATAGAAGCCATAAACCCAACTTTGATTTAAAGAATAAAATTGGCAAAGGCAAAGATTTGCGACTAACCGAGATGGGACGCAAGAACATGGTTAAGGCATGGAAGAAGAATCCTGCGAGCTCTCGGGCCATAATTGAGGAGACCTCGATTGCTAGGACTGAACCAGCACGCGAAAATGAGCCGGTTAAGGAGACTGCAGCGGAGTCGGTCATTAACGCTGACAATCAGCCTATCATGCCATTGGCGTCGACGATTATGCCAGTGAATGAGCCGGTGATTGAAACCGAGAATTCAAGAGTTGGTCCCGAGGAAGCAGAAGTTAGGCTAGTGGGACCGTCGTAAGAGACGGGGTAAGTCCTAGACCAACGATGGACAAAGTAAAAAAGAGCAGGACGTCAGATCATGTAAAGATAAAGAAGA